AGAAGTAAGTAAGTGCCATGTAGATATAGGAACTGGCAGACAAGAAGAGATCATAAAAAAACAATGAAATCATAGAAAACAATAAATGAAAACAAAGAAATCATAAAAAACAATGCTACAGACATGATGTCAAGACCAAAGTACTAATGAAATCTAAGGGTAAATAGATCAAGGGAGAGCAAGAGCAAAAATAGTAAATCTGTTATATAGCTAAAAGTGGTGATTCTTGTTTGATTTTTAATATAATGCATTATCTGATATATGCCTATCATATCAAAACCAAGAGAGACAAGAAAATATAAGGACTTAAATGCTTTACATTGGGATTCCTCACTATTTGGAAATTCAAAAATAATCTCTGCCTTAGTAAAAAGAAATTATGTGATCAATTTTCACTAACAAAAATACTTTTTTCTTCATCCAAATTATTTTAATACACTTCTAGACAACAAAAGGTGGAGATAATTAAAAAATAAATTTCTTATGTTTTTGAGAATTTAATACATGAATAAAATATATCATATTCATAACCACCCTCCATTTCATGCCTCCAGCTCTCTATGGACCACGTTGGAACTTTTCAAACTTCACATGTTCTTTCTTGTTGGTTAATATTGTAGCTAATGCTGCTTGTTTATGCATGTGAGAGCAGTCCTCAACTGAAACAAGGGCTATCTGGCAGTGGTTAGAACTCAAAGAAAAATGTCTATCTCTCCCTAAGCCACCATCAACTGTTAACAGCTCCTCAACAAGGTATAGGGCCTCACAAGTACCTTTCTCACCCATAATGGAATTTTGACTGACTTGAGTTTTTGAAGTTCTTGTGTAGGTAACCATCGCCACTATGGCTCCACATATATGGTAATCATGCCATACCATGCCCAAAGGGAAGCACTTCATAGCACTTTTCCTTATCTTTTGTGTCTTTGTCAATGCTCCATTGACATGAAGAGACATCATGATCACAGCAACATTTATAAAGGAAAGCTTTTTTATCATTTATTTATTTATTTACAATTTATTCAATTGTTGCCCCCTCCCTCAATTCCCCCAGTTCCACCCTCCCTCCTTCTTCCTCCCTATCTACTCTCCTAGTCCACTGAAAGTGGGAGATTTCCGACATTGCCATCTGCCCCTAGTTTATTGAGTTTCATCAGGACTGCCTGGATCCTCTTCCTCTGTCTCCTGGCAGGGCTGCATTTCCAAAGGCAAGTGATCAAAGAGTAGGCAGCAGAGTTCATGACAGAACTGTTCCCCTTACTTGGGTACCCACATGGAAACTGAGCTCCCTACGGGCTACATCTGAGCAGGGGTTCTAGGTCCTCTCCATGCTTTGTCCTTGGTTGATGCATTAAGACTAACCCCTGCAGGACCCCTGGGCTCAGATTCTTTTTGATTTGTTGGTCTCTTTATGGAACCCCTGTTCCCTCTTTGTCCTTTTCCCCCTGACCTCCACTTCTTCCATAAGACTTCCTGTGCTCTGCCCAAAGTTTCTTTGTGGGTCTCAGCATCTGCTTTGGTCTCCTGTTGGGTGGAGCCTTTCAGAGGACCCTCCATAGTAGGCTCTCATCTGCTCCCTCTTTTTTACAGGTGTCTATCCTATTTGCCATTCTGAATGAGAGTTAAGCATCCTCTTATTAAAGGAAAGTTAAAGGAAAGCTTTTAATTGAGACTTGCTTACAGGAACAAAGATCTAGTCCAATGTCATCATGGAAGGAAACATACAGGCAGAGTTGGTGTCAGATAAGTTGCTTGAAGGTTCAACATCAAGACCTATCTATAGGCAGCAAGAAGCAACCCTGGCTTGAGCTTTGAAAATCAAAACCCAAACCCAGTGACACACTTTCTAGAATAAGGCCACACTGACTCCAAAACGGCCACATCTTGTAAAACCTGTCAAGTAGAACCACTTCCTAATGGCCACACATTTAAGAATATGTGCTTGTGGTGGCCATTTCTATTAACAACACCACTCAAAGGCTTCTACATTCTCCAAGCACTCCTCTTGCTAAAGATTCCTTAAAGTTGGAGGTAAGAAATGTATCTTCATTATTTTCTATTGTTGTGATAATTCATTGTCCAAAATCAATTTAGCTGAAGAAATGGTTTATTTGTCTTACAAATCTTGTTCAAGTCTGTTACTATAGGAAGTCAGGAAAGGAATTCAACAGGGACAGAAGCAGGACCTATGAGGGAATAGCTTGTTTTTGTTTGTTTGTTTGTTTGATTGATTGACTGATTTTTCCTATCTGTTCTCCCAAGTCTTACTCATCTGGCTTTTTAACAAGTCCCAGGCCCACTGACGTAGGTGTGGCACTACCCACCAGGGACTTGTGCTGAACACATTAACACCAATCAAGAAAATGTACTGGGGGAGGGGCATGGGAAGAGAAGGAGGGAGGGTAGGATTGGGAGGACAAGAGGGAGGGAGTTACAGCTGGGATACAAAGTAAATAAATTATAATAAATAAATAAATATGTATATGAAACATAAAAAACACAATGATATGAAGCTAAATGTTATAAACACATTCAACACAGTTATATTAAATGAAAATGCCTTCTTTAATCTGTTTATAGAGGAGGATTCCAAGATGGCAGCAACCAGCTCGCACCTTATCTAAGGCACACAATACCTGAAACTCTGAAATTGGTGAGTGGAGGGGCAACTGAAACCAGAACATCGATATTGAGGCTTCCTGGACAATTTTGGGACAATTCAGAGGTGAGATCATTTGCATCCAAGTCACCATGGAGAGTGGTGAATATTAAAACCCCCTTGCTCTTGCCTTAAACACAGGCCTCCTTCCTCAGCAGAGGGAGCCAGCAGTGCCCTCTGCTCCAAGCACCAGCCTCCCTGCTCAGCAGAGGCTACAGTGATTGTCTCAAGCATCATTCTCACCATTCTCCATGCTCTCTAACTGAGATAGCAGAGGCAGGAATCACAGTTCTGCAGCAGTAGCAAGCAGCTGTAAGGGCCTCCTTGTAGGCAGCTGTACCAGTCTCCCAGGTCTGCAGCAGCTGTGGGCAGCAATAGGGGCCTCCCAGGTCTGCAGGCAGCTGTATGGGCTTCAGAGGGCTTCCTGATGGATGGTTGTACCAAATTCTCAGGTATGCAGCAGCAGCAGAGTGGAAGCTAGCCCTAGCAGGAGCCTCCATGATCCAAGACTGAGACAGCACAGGTGGCTACCCCAAATATAGTACTCCCTGCCCAGAAGATAAACAGTGGACACCACTGGGCTGACAAATCTCCTACAGAAGATACTAGAAGTAAAACTCCAACAGCAACAAAAAAATATACCCAAGAAAACACAGGATTTAGATAACTTCAATTAATTGTAAAAGAGTACAATTAATAGTAACACCATCAACACCACAATAAAAGTAACTAAAACTCATAGGTCACTATTATCTATCAATATCAATGGAATCTACTCTCCAATAAAAAGATACAGATTAACAGAATAGTTGCAGAAACAGGATCCAACATTCTGCTGCATCCAAGAAACACATGTAAGCAACAAAGATAAACACTACCTCTGAGTAAAAGGATAGAAAAAAATTTTTCAAGCAAACAACTCAGAAAACAAGCTGGGGTAGCTAATATCTAATAAAATTAGACTTTCAACCAAATTAATGAAAAAAGCTGAGGAGGGCCACTTCATTCTCATCAAAGGAAAAAAAAATCCACTAGGGAGATATCACTATCCTGAATATTTATGCTCCAAATACAAGAGTACATGTATTTATAAATGAAATATTATTAAAACTGATAGTACACATGGATCCTAACTCCGTAATAGTGGGAGATTTCAACACTCCACTCTCTACAAGGGACAGATCATCTAAACAGAAAATGAATAGTGAAAAAATGATGCTTAGAGAGGTCCTGAATCAAATGGACCTAATAGATGTCTACAGAACTTTTCATCCAAATTCAAAATATCTCTTCTTTTCAGTACCTCAGGGAAACTTCTGAAACATTGACCTTACAGTCAGGCACAAAGCAAGCCTCAACAGATACAAGAATATTGAAATAATCCCTTGTGGGATTATTTCAGACCACCACGGCCTATAACTAGACATCATCAAAGAGAGAAATAACAAAAAGCCTACATATACATGGAAACAAAACAACTCTCTACTCAATGAAAGCTTGGTCAAAGAAGAAATGAAATTAGAGACTTCCTAAAATTCAATGAAAATGAAGGCACAACTTACCCAAACCTGTGGGATACAATGAAAGCAGTGCTAAGAGGAAAGTTCATAGCATTAAGTGCTTCCAGAAAGAAGTTTGAGACATCTAATACAAGAAACTTAATGGCGCACATAAAAGCACTAGGAAAAAAAGAAGCAGATACACCCAAGAGGAGTAAATGTTTGGAAATAATCAAAGTCAGAGCTGAAATCAATGAATTAGAAACAAATAAAACAATTCAAATAATCAATGAAACCAAAAGCTGGTTCTTTGAGAAAATCAACAAGATAGACAAACCCTTAGCCAAACTAACTAAAAGGCAGAGAGAAACTATTCAAATCAGCAAAATCAGAAATGAAAAGAGTGACATAACAACAAACACTGCGGAAATTCAAACAATCATTAAGTCTACCTACAAAAGCCTTTATGCCATACAATTTGAAAATCTAAATGAAATGGACGATTTTCTTGTTAGATTCCATTTACTCCATTCAATCAAGATCAATTTACTAAATTAAATAGACTGTATAGTCCTAAGAAAAAGGAAGCAGTCATCAATAGTCTCCCTTCCAAAAATGCTAAGGTGGTTTCAGATCACAATTCCACTGGACCTTCAAAGAAGAGCTAATTCCAATTCTATTGAAACTATTCCATAAAATAGAAACAGAAGGAACATTACCAAACTCATTCTTTGGAGCCACATTCACTTTGATAACTAAATCACAAAAAGACCCAACAACAAAAAAAAAAAAGAGAATTTCAGATCTATCTCTCTTATGAATATTGGTGCAAAAATACTTACAGACCGAATCCAAAAACTCATAAAAGATACCATGACCAAGTAGGCTTCATTCCAGGCATGAAGGTGTTCAATATAGAGAAATTATTCAATGTAATCCACCGTATAAACAAACTGAAGAAGAAAAAACATATAATCATCTCCTTAGATGCAGAAAAAGCATTTGACAAAGTCCAACACTCATTCATGTTTAAAGTCTTGGAGAGATCAGGAATAAAAGGCACATTCTTAAACATAGTAAAGGCAATATACAGCAAGCCTATAGCCAACATCAATCTAAATGGAGGGAAACTTAAACCCACTGAAATCAGGGATAAGGAAAGGTTGCCCTTTGTCTCCATATTTCTTCAACATAGTACTTGAAGACCTGGCTGGATCAGTAAGACAACTAAAGGATATAAAGGGGATATAAATTGAAAAGGAAGAGGTCAAAGTACCACCATTTGTAGATGATGTACATACATGAGCGACTCCATAGTGGCTGGATACAAAATTAACTAAAAAACAAATCAGTAGCCCTTCTGTATACAGAAGACAAAGGGGCTGAGAAACACGGTATATGCTTACTTCTAACTGGAGATTAGACATAAATTATAGGATAAACATAATAAAATCTGTACAGCTAAAGAAGATAGGCAAGAAGGATTACACAGGGTAACATGATCAAGCATCAGAAATACAAACAGGTTGGACATTGGAAGAAGGAGAAAATAGGAAAGAGAACAAAAGGCTATGACAGAGAGCCTCTGAAAGACTCTACCCAGCAGTGTACCAAAACAGATGCTGAGACCCATAACCAAACTTCGGGCAGAGTGAAGGAAACCTTGTGAAAGAAGGGGGAGATAGTAAGACTTGGAGAGGGCAGGAGATCTACAAGGAGAGCAAAAGAATTAAAAAACCTGGGCACAGGAGTCTTTTTTTGAGGCTGCTATACCAACCAATGACCATTTATGGATGTAACCTAGAACCCCTACTCAGATGCAGCCCATGGAAGCTCAGTATCAATGTGGGTTTCCTAATAAGGGGAACAGGGACTGTCTCTGACATGAACTGAGTGGCTCACTCTTTGATCACATCCCCCTGAGGGGGGGAGCAACCTTGCCAGTACACAGAGGGGACAATGTAGCCAGTCCTGATGAGACCAGATAGGCTAGGGTCAGATGGAAGGGGAGGAGGACCTCCCCTATCAGTGTGCTTCTAAAGGGGCATGGGAGTATATGACAGAAGCAGAATAGGATTGATAGGGAATAAGGGGGGAGGAGGAGATTGAGCTGGGATACAAAGTAAGTAAACTGTAATTAATATAAAAAAAATAAAAATTTAATGAAAAATATAACATTAAAAAAAGAAATTAGGAAAACAACATCCTTCACAATAGCCACTAATAACATAAAGTAATTGTTGTGACTCTATCCAAGCAAATGAAAGACCTGTTTGAAAAAACTTCAAGTCTCTGAAGAAAGAAATTGAAGAAGATTAACAGAACATGAGAAGATCTCACATGCTCATAGATCAGTAGGATTAAGGTAGTAAAAATGGTCATCCTTCCCAAAGCAATCTAAGATTCAGTGCAATTCCTATCAAAATACAAACACAATTCTTTACAGACCTTCAAAGAACAATTTTCAACTTTATATGGGAAAACAGAACACGCAGAATTGCTTAATCAATCCTGTACAACAACAGATCATCTGGAGGTATCTCCATCCCTGACCTCAAGCTGTATGCAGAGCAATAGTAATAAAAACTGAATGATAATGGCATAGAAACAGAATGATATTTTGAAGGAATCAAATAGAAGATCCAGAGATAAATCTACACACTTATGGATACTTGTTTTTTGACAAAGAAGCCAAAAATCATACAATGGAAAAAAGACAACATCTTCAACAAATGGTGCTGATCCAACTGGATGTCTACATGTAGAAAAATTAAAATAGATCCATATTTATCACCCTGCACAAAACTAAAGTCTAAATAGTTCAAAGACCTCAACATAAAACCAGTCATACTAAATCTGTTGGAAGAAAATGTGGGGAAGAACCTTCAATTCATTGGCACAGGAGACAACTTCCTGAACAGGACACTAACAACATAGGCTCTAAGATAAAAAAAAAATCAATTAATTGGACTGCATGAAACTTAAAAGCTTCTGTAAAGCAAAGGGCACTGTCATCAGAACAGGATCTTACAAATTGGGAATATATCTGACAGAGGGCTAATTTCCAGAATATATAAAGAACTCAAGAAGTTAAAAAGCAACAAATGAAGTAATCCAATTAAAAAGTGGAGTACAGAGCTAAACAGAAAATTATTTACAGAAGAATATTGAATAGCAGAGAAATATTTAAAGAAATGCTCAATGTCATCCCTTAGTCATCAGGGAAATGCAAATCAAAACAACACTGAGATTTCAACTTACACCCATCAGAATGGCTAAAATCAAATATTCAAGTGATAGTACATGCTGGAGAGGTTGTGGAGAAAGCAGAACCCTCCTCCATTGATGGTGGGAATGTAAGCTTATACAACCACTTTGGAAAACAATCTGGCACTTTTTCAGACAATTAAGAATAGTGCTTCTTCAAGATCCAGCTATACCACTCCTAGTCATATATCCAAAAGATGCTCAAGTATACAACAAGGACATTTGCTCAGCCATGTTTGTAGCAGCTTTATTCATAATAGCCAGAACATGGAAACAACCCAGATGTCCCTCAATGGAGGAATGGATAGAGAAATTGTGGTACAATTACAGAATGGAATAATACTCAGCAATTAAAAACAAGGAAATCATGAAATTTGCAGTCAAATGGTGGAATCTAGAAAAGATCATCTTGAGTGAGGTATCACAGAAACAGAAAGACACACATGGTATTTACTCACTTATAAGTGGATACTAGACATATATTATAGGATAAATATACTAAAATCTGTACATCTAAAGAAGCTAAATAAGAAGGAAGACCCCAGGTAAGATGATCAATCCTCACTCAGAAAGGCAAATGGGCCTGACATCTGAAGAGGGAGAAAACTGGAAACAGGACAGGAGTCTACCATAGAGGGTCTTTCAAAGACTCTACCCAGCAGGGTATCAATGAAGATGGGGATACTCAGAGTCAAAACTTTGGGCAGAGTGTAGGGACTCTTAAGCAAGAATGGGGAGATAGAAGGACCTGGATGGGACAGGAGCTCTAAAATGAAAACAACAAGATCAAGACATCTGGTCCCAAGAGTCCTTTATGAGACTGATTTTCCAACAAGGACTATGTAAGGAGATAACCTAAAAACCCTGCTCAAATGTAGCCCTTAGTAAACCAAGTGGTTTACCATGATGGGAATAGAGACTATCTCTGACAGGAACTCAGTGGCTGGCTCTTTGATCACCTCCCCCTGAGGGAGAGCAGTGTTCCCAGGCCACAGAGTATGACAATGCAGCCAGGACTGATGAGACCTGATAGGCTAGGGTCAGATGGAATTGGAGGAGGAACTCCCCTATAGGCTTGGGAGGAGATGAGGAAAGGAGGGCTAGATTGGGAGGGAATGAGGGAAGGGGATATAGCTGGGATACAAAGTGAGTAAACTGTAATTAATATAAAAATTAAAAAATAAAATTAAACTGTTTATATAAATAAAAAAAGACATAACCAGAAATCCCTCTATTGGAGGGAAACAACTCCTTTCTTTAATCCAGCAATGGTGCTGCTCTGGAAAGGGATCACATCCATGTGTGCATAATCTGGTTGGAATGCAGACATGCCATACACCTTTAGTCATCTGGCTAGAATACATATATGTCCTTAGTAAATATCTTCAATCACAATGACTTATTTCTTATAATTTTTCACCTTATATTTCGATTGTAGCCCTCTCATCTTCTACATGTCCCCCCCCCCCCCCCCTTCTTCTACTTCCCCAACCCCTCTCAACCACTTTGGAAATCAATCTGGCACTTTCTCAGAAAATCAGGAATAGCAATACCTCAAGACCCAGTTATTCCACTCCTGGGCATATACCCGAAAGATGCTTCACCATACAAGAAGGGCATTTGCTCAACTATGTTCATAGCATCTTTATGTGTAATAGCCAGAAGTCAGAAACAACCTAGATGTTTCTCAACTGAAGAATAGATGCAGAAATTGTGGTACCTTTACGCAGTGGAGTAGGACTTAGCTATTAAAAACAAGGAACTCATGATATTTGCAAGCAAATGGATGGAAGTACAAAAGATCATCCTGAGTGAGGTAACCAAAAGCAGAAAGACAGGCATTGTATATACTCACTATAAGTGGATTTTAGCCATATAATATAGAATAACCATACTACCATCCACAGACCTGAAGAAGGTAAGTAGCAAGTTGGAATCCAGGGAGGATACTTAATTCTTATTCAGAATAGCAAACAATTTAGACAGTAGAAGCTGGGGAAAAGAGAGAACAGGACTGGATGATAACAATGGCTTTTATTTGAGGGCCAGAGAAAGTGACAAATCAGAAAGAGTTTTGACATAATGCATAATAGGTGGGATACACCCACCTTTCAGGAGAACAAACAGAAAGAAGCTACTTAAGAGCAGTGCAGGAAAAGAGAGGGAGTTGAGTTAAGTGAAGTCCTACAGAATCCAGTTGACTTTAGTTGAATTTGTGACTTTAGTTGAATTTAGTTGAATTCTCTTAGGTTCAGTTCATGCCAACAATGCAGTTCAGTTCATGGAGCTCAGAAGCAGTTTTTTTGTTTCTTTGGTTTTTTAATGTAGAGCAATTGAGAAGTAGTCAGCTTGGAGAGGAGTTTGAGCCAGAACAGCTGAACTGAATCAGCCAGCCTGAAGTCAGAGCTAGCAACGGTGAATTTGCTCTGCAAATTCTTGGTAGCTAAAACATCCTAGGCTAAGGTAATGGCTGGGAGCTGAAGCTTTCAAGGTCGTGGAAGGGAGATTAGTTTGAATGGAGGCTAGAAGCTTCCAGTCTAGGCCTAGTAATAGAAATAGTCTGGGTTCAGCCCAACCAATATGTTTGCACAGCTTGAGTATGGCTCTCATTTCATCCCTTCATCTGAGAAAAATTAAAAAAGAAAAGAAAAGAAAAGAATTAAAAGTTTTCCCTTCATAGTGTCCT